AAACTCGTGCATGATGCTCCAAAGTCCAAATAATTGGCACTTGATGCACCAAAACTGGCGCATGATGCGCCACAGACAACTTTTGGCAAATTAAGATGGTTCGAGAAAAATTTTGGGCAAATTTTCAAAGAGACACTTATTCTAGACAGCCCTTGGAGCGATTTAATGCATCTAGATACTTTAGAAGGTTCTTTTATTAAGGGATGTATCTCTTGTTTCAATCAACATGTATTTTGAATTCAAAAAAGTTGACTTTTGGTTAGAATTTATGCGGGAATTTAGAATTTGTTTTGGAGGGAAGTAGTCTTTTTTGAAAGAGAGGGAAGTCATGGGATTGAAGAGGAGTTTTGAAGATGAGTTTGGTGGTGGTGGCGTGTGTGTGTGTGTGAGTGGCGTGAGAGTGAAAAGAAGGAAAGGGAGAGAGGGTGAGAGAAAGTCAAGGGCCTAGAGATTTTATTCCGGGATTGTAAGAGGAGAGAGAATGTGACAAAATTCTTCTTTATTACATTTCTAGGAGAGAATTGAGAGTGCTTGTAAGAAGAGAAAGGCTTGAAAAGAACATCTAGTGAATTGCTTGGGAAGGACTGTGAGATAAGTTTTATATTTTATTTCTTTTGTATTGTAAACTTGTTTTTTATTAATGAAATTTGGTTTTGTCGTATTCTTCTCATGAATTATGAGTAGTTTTTCTTATCTTTCTCCCTACTTTGAGTTATGATTTTGTGAAGAATTGATTTTGTTTTAAATTATTTTAAATGTTAAAAATTTGTGATGATTTGAACTCTGATCTTCATTTACATTTTGATTTGGCCAATAGATATGTGAATATGTGTTGAGAAACATATGTTCTAAAAGGTCTATGATTTCTACAACATGGGGAGAATCCCATTTGATTTCATGGGAGAGTATTCCATCCATGGAGTTGGGTGCAAATAAATAAGGAAATATACTTTATTGGATACAGAATTGGAAATTTTAAGGTGACAAATTAAAATTCCTAATTTTGTCCAGTTGATTACAAACTAATACAAGATTATTAGCCTTCAGGTGAGGGAGTAGTGAGAGCTCTAGAGTGACAGTCGGTTTCCTCCCAAATATCCTCCCAGCCTAACCACAAGGGTAAAGAATAGGATTGCTCTGATTTTGACAAAAAACATCATATATTTATATATATATATATATATAATATTAAAAATATGTTGATTTTGCTGGTACGGGAACCAATGCTCATGTTGCAGGAGGGTGGATATATAATCTGCCCAAAGTTCTCGTTTGCAGCACTTCATGGCATAACATTTTCATTAAAACTAAGTTTATTTTTGCACTAGACATTTATGGCAGTCAAATATTGGTGTTGTTATAGATCAATGAAAACATAAAATCAAAATTAATAAAAAAAAAATACAATGTACGTTAAGCTATTGTTTCCTTTCTGGCTTTACTAAAACGTTATTGTGCTAGAAAGTTATACAAATATAGTTACTGCTAATATCAGTGGTGATTATAATTATGATGTTTCTTATGATGGTTATTTAGGCGGATCAGCATTAAAAATTTTTCTATTCTGAGGAAAATTTACATACATTCCACATAATTCTTATGTATTTAGATATCTAATACTTAAAGTTTGATATTTACATTTGTAAGACATTGGTGCCATAAAACTTGGCATGAAAAGTCCTACTTCACTTGCAAAAAAAAAAAAAATGATACATAAGAGATATTTAGTATGTATGTAAAAGATCTTTAATTTTCTCTCTTTTCATAAATTTTCACAATATTGTCAGTTTCAAGTAAAGTTTAAATTTTTGTGCTCGTTGCCACTAAGGCTAGAAAAGCTGTATTATGTGTGCTATCAGAGAAAGATCTTCATGAATTAATCAGAGAAATACGATAAAATTTCATTAAATCGTGTACGGAGAGATCATCCACAATTCCTTCATATTAAATTTAACTTTGGGGATCAAGATAGCCTTGCTACCTTTATCTATGCTGGAAGCTCTCCTAGAGCCAAAGTGGAGTTGTGGGAGAGTATTCAGAATATCAGCATTTTCTGTAACTCAGTTTGGCTGGTGGGAGGGACATCAACTCCATTTATACCCCTTCTGAAAAATTAGGAGGCAATCCTCCTAACTCTAATTCTATGAATCTCTTTAATGACAACATCAGCTTAGCTTGCTTATTTGATCTTGGTTTCACTGGACCCAAGTTTACTTGGAGGAGAGGACCTTTATGGGAAAGATTGGATAGAATCTTAGTTAACTCCCTGTGGCTGAATGAATTCATACACACCTCTGTCGAACATCTTAGCATGACTGGATCTGATCACAGGCCTTTACTCATCACCATTTCTGCATCTCCAGTTAAGCACAAAGCCAGCTTTAGATACCTCAACATGTGGTCCTCTCATACTGATTTTCTTAATCAAATTTCCTTGGGGTGAAGAGAATGCTATCACCCTAATCCACTGATCAAACTGTGGCTGTTGCAAAAGAAGATTGGCAAGCATTTATCTAATTGGAATTTGAATGTGGTTGGAGATGTTAAATTGAGAGTTAAAGAGGCTAAAAAGGAAGTGCTTGATATGGAAGCTAGGCTTCAGACCAATCCAGAAATTGAATTAATTTACTGTTGGCTAATGAAAAATTGATGAATGCTATTAGTATGCAGGAGGAATTCTATGCCCAAAAGGCTGCAAAAATCAGATTCTGTGAAGGGGATAGAAATACTAAGTACTTTCATGCTTGTATCAACTATAGGAGGAGATGTAATACCATTCACAAGATTAAAGATCCATCAGGGAATTGGATACTTTTTGAAGACTTAATTGCAGCAAGTCCCATCCAGTATTTTCAAACTTTATTCACTCAACCTCCTTTCACCAGATTACCAATCCAGCAAGATCTTTTTGATCAGGGATATACAAGAAATCTGAAATTGGATTCTATCCCTGGGGAATTGGAAATTTGGTCAGCCCTGAACTCAATTGACAGCTCCAAAGTTGCTAGCCCAGATGGATTCTCAGCTGATTTCTACAAAAAAGCTTGGAAGATCATCAAGGGGGATGTAATTGAGGCAGTACAAAGCTTCTTCAAAGGGATGAATTTACCCAACTATTTTAACTGCTCTACCAATATTTTAATCCCCAAAAACCAATTACAAGCTCTATGGTATTAGTTCAGGCCAATCAATCTCACAAATGTTATGTCCAAAATTATTAGCAAAATTATTTCAAACAGATTGCAACCTCACTTACCTCATCTTATCAGTGAAAAACAATAAGCTTTTGTGCAAGGTAGAAGCATAGTGGAAAATGTTCTGTTGGCACAAGAACTAGTCCTGGACCTGGACAAACAGTGTAGAGGAGGAAATCTCATTTTCAAACTTTATATCCAAAAGACTTATGATACCATTAATTGGGATTTCATTGTGGAGGTGTTGTCTGCTAGGGGTTTCTCTCAATCCTTTATTTCCCTGATCCTAAGGTAGCTGTCAAATAATCATCAATCCATCTTCATTAATGGGAAGTCTCATGGTTTCTTCACTGCTACCAGAGGTATCAAGCAAGGTGACCCCTTATCCCCTACTATCTTTATACTTGCATTTGATTACTTATCAAAACCGCTGAATCAATTTATGGCCAAAGCTCCTCACTCTCTTTATAGCCACAGATCTAACATTACAATTAACCATTTAACCTTTGTTGATGATGTAATTATATTTACAAAAGAAACTAAACCCACAGTCAAATTTTTGTTTCAATTCTTGGAGAAATTCTAAGATTTCTCTGGGATGTTGTTTCATAAACAGAAATGTTAGGTTGTCTGCAGTAAATGGGTGAAGCCTGAAATCAAACACTGGATTTCAGATTTCACCCTAGCTCTCTACCTCTGAAATACTTAGGCACCTTATTTAATGGGGGGACTAGGCAAGTCCAGTTTGATGATATTCTTCAAAAAGTTCAAGATAAACTCAATAGTTGGTCCAATACTTTTCTTTCCAATGGGGAAAAAAATTACCCTTCTTAAAAGCATCTTAGCAGCTCTCCCATCTTATTTATCTCAGGTTTCTATTATGAAGAAATCCATCTAAACCTCACTTGAAAGAACTTTCAATAGATTTTTATCGGCAGGCTAGAGAAAGCAAGTGCATTGGGTGAGATGGCAAA